CTTTCCGTGGGCTCTAAGTGACTTGCTGTGGCCTGCAAGAGTCAGAGGGGAGAATCAGGCTGAATGTAAATACTTAACCCCATCAGAGAGGTGTCAGTGAGCCGTAAATAGTACTGCAGGCAACAGCCATGCATCACTGATTCCCACTTGTCACGCCCCTCATTTTCTGAAATCTAGTTTGGAGCCCAACACTTTCTTGAATCAGGAGACCCATTGCCATGAGCTGTTGACTTTTGGAGCCTTTTAAAATACTGTGATGTCTACTAATACCCTTTCAATGCTTTAAACGCACATTGTAAATTTTTTAAGTGTATCTTGTTTTGACTATTTTTTTTTTTTGTAATTTGCAAAAGCTTAAAAATTATAACTTAAATGTAACCATCTTTATAATCGTTCAGAGCAAATATTTGTCTTCTTCAAGGAGCCTTCCTTCTAGTGGAAGAAGACAAAGCACCAATATATAAAACAATAAATAATAATAATGCAAGAATACAGCAGATACAAGCTAGCAAATGATAAATGAACCGTATGAATCCATAATATGTCAAACTCCATAGGTTCTATACCTGAATATTGGCTCTATTAGTGAGTCTGTAGAATTCACTTCAAATACTCTACAATTTCTCCTCCTTCATACTGCTGAGAATGAAGAAGAGGATGGAGAGGGGCCACATGTCATGTAAGTCACCAACGCATCAACATTATAACCAAACAGGTGTTCCTACCAATCTTAGTTATCACTCTTAAATGTTGGCGTTTCTAAGGCTTGGTTCTGGGCCCTCTTCTCATTCTATCCCCACTTAGTCTGTCTTTAGTATAAGCAGCCCAGGTTCTTGCCTGACTAATGATGTCTATGTCACCCTCTGAATAAAAATTTATGACTTTGTATTAGTCTGCTCTGGTGCCATAACAAAATACCACAGACTAGGTGGCCTAAAAAATAGACATTTACTTTCTTACAGTTCTGGAGCCTAAAAGCCCAAGATCAAGGTGCCAGCAGGATTGATTTCTAGTGAGACCTCTCTTCCTGGCTTAGAGATGGCTTTTTCTTGCTGTGTCGTCACATGGCCTTTCCTCTCTGTACACCAGACTTTCCTCTGGTATCTCTTCCTCTTCCTATAAGGGCACCAATTCTATTGGATTAGGGTCCCACCCTTATGACATCATTTAACTTTACCTACTTAAATCCCCTTTATCCAAATAAAGTCATATTGGGAGTTTCATAACGTGTGAATTTGCAGAGGAACATAATTCAGCCCATAACGCTCTCCAATTACCACTTCTCTTTGTTCTCAACCTAATGATACCTGACGAATTTTGATAGGTTGTGAGTTCCTCGAGGATGGGGACAATATTTTGTTTCATCTTAGGATCCCATGGTACAGTGCTCAGTCTAGAAAACATACTAACGAATTACTTGCTGCATTGAACTGAATGGAACTTGATTCTCTATTACTGTCCAGTCCCAGTTGAGTGACTTACCATAGTCACCTAGAATATTTCGATGATTTTCTAACTGGTCTAATGTCTCCAATACCTTCAATACTTCCTATACACTATCACCAGAATGTTCTTCCTAAAACAAAGGTTAGATCACACCTTGGTTTCCCCTCAGAATCCTCAGTGGCTTTCCATTAGTTCTAAGATTTAGCCTAAGATGTTTTTTGAGCCTCATCATTTAAAAAAGGACTTTGAATGCCCCATTCCTAGCATAGCATTCAAGTACCTCCTCCTTATCTGGCTGACCCTGATCTCCCTTTCAGGCTAATCTATATCCCTGCCAATACATCCCTCAACTCCACCTTCCAGAGGCTCCCAGTGCTGGCTCATGGACTTCCTGCATAAGATCATTATAGTTCAGAGTTCCTGGTTCTATTCCCTGGAGAAAGAGGATCTGGAGAAGGGCTTGGAAAATCCATCTTTTAAAAGCTACTGCACAAAGAGAATGAGAAGACAAGCCACAGACTGGGAGAAACTATTTGTAAAAGACATATCTGATAAAGGACTGTTATCCAAAATATACAAAGAACTCTTAAAACTCAACAATAAGAAAATGAATAACTCGATTAAAAAATAGGCAGAGACCTGAACAGATACTTCACCAAAGAAGATATACAGTTGGTGAAGAAGCATGTGAAAAGATGCTCTGTGTTATATGTCACTAGGGAAAGGCAAATTAAACCAACAAGATACCACTATACACCTATTTGAACAACCAAAATCCAAAACACTGACAGTAGCAAATGCTGGCTGACAAGGATGTGGAGCAACTAGAACTTTCATTCATTGTTGGTAGGAATGCAAAAAGGTATAGCCACTTTGGAATACAGTTTAGTGGTTTCTTATACAACTAAACAAACAAACTCTTAATCGTTATGATCCAGCAATTGCACTCCCAAATGAAATGAAAAGTTGTGTCCACAGAAAAGACCTACACAGACCTGATGTTTATAGCAGCTCTATTCATAATTGCCAAAACTTGCAAGCAACCACGATATCCTTCAGTGGGTGAATAGATAATTAAACTGTGTCCCATCCAGACAATGGAATATTATCCAGCACTAAAAAGAAATGAGCTATCAAGCCATAAGAACACATGAAGGAATCTTAAATGCATATTACTAAGTGAAAGAAGCCACTGAAAAGTCTACATATTATATGATTCCAACTATATGACACTATAGAAAAGGCAAAACTATGGAGATCATAAAAAGGTCCGTGGTTGCCAGGGGATGGATGGCAAAAAGATGAATGAATAATCAAACCAAAGAGGATTTTAGGCAGTGAAAATATTCCAGGTGATACTATAATGATGGATACATGTCATTATACATTTGTCCAAACCCCAGAATGAACAACGCAAAGACTGAGCTCTAATGTAAACTGTGGACTATGGGTGATGATATGTCAATGTAGTCCATCGATTATAGCAAGCGTACCATTCTAGTGGGGCATGTTGATAGTGCAAGAAACTGGGGCGGGGTCAGGAGCATAAGTGTGAAATCTCCACATTTTCTGCTCAACTTTGCTATGAACCAAAAACTCCTCTAAAAAAATAAGTTTATTAATTTTTTTTTTAAAAAAGCTGCTGCAGGTGAGAGGTTT